ATTCCTAGGAATTTTATTTTCTGAGACTATATTGATTGGGATTGTTTTCCTTATTTCTATCTCAGTCTGTTCATTGTTATTATATAGAAAAGTTGCTGTTTTTTTGCATATTGATTTTTGTATCCTGATACTTTGCTGTTTATGTTTATTCATTTTTTGTGGTACTGGGGTTTGAACTCAGGACCTACACCTCAAGCCACTCCACAACCCCTTTTTTGTGGTAGGTTTTCTTGAGATAGAGTCCTGTGAACTATTTGCCTGGGCTGGCTTTGAATTGCATTCCTCCTGATATCTGTGTCCTGAGTAGCTAGGATTACAGGAGTGAGCCATGGGCACCTGGTCTTTGCTGTTTATAATGCCAAAGAGACTTCAGTTGACTTTTTAGGGTCCTTTAGGAATAAGATGGTATTATCTACAAATAGGGGTACTATGACCTCATCATTTGTAGTTTGAATCCCTTTTATTTCTTCGTCCTGTCTTATTGCTCTGGCCAGGAATTAATAATATAGTGAGTAAGAGTGACTCTATTGAGATAAGTGTGTGATTTTTGACCTTTTATTTATATGTTGCATTGCATTTATCCATTTGTATGAGTAGCTATCACTGCATTCCTGGAATGAAGCAGACTTGATTATGGCATGTGATGTTTTTGACGTATTCTTGAAGTTTGTTTGCAGTATGTTATTGAGAATTTTTGTACCTATTTTCATTAAAGGGATTGACTTATAATTCTCTTTTTCATTGCATGTTTGACTAGTTTTTGAATGAATGTAGTATGGCCTTAGTAGAGTAAGTTTGGTAGTGTTCCTTCCCTTTCTGTTTCCTGGAAAAGTTTGGGGAGTGTTGGCATCACATCTTCTTTAAAGGTCTGGCAAATTTTGGCAGTGAATCAATTGTGACCTGGACTTTTCTTTTTTGAGAGAGACTACTGCAGCTTTATTCTCATTGCTTGCCATACATCCATTTATGTGCTTTATATCCTCATCATTCAATTTTTGGTTGGACAAATGCATGAAGAAATTTATCCATTTCTTCTAGACTGTTCAGTTTATTTGAATGTTGATTGTTTTCTTTGTTTATTTTATCATGTTTACATTTACTCACATGTGTACACATTGTTTGGGCCACCTTTCCCCCTACTCCCCCTCATTTTCTGAGTAGAACTGGTTCTGCCCTCTTCTCCAATTTTGTTGAAAAGAAAACATAAGAGATAATGAGAAAGACATACTATATTTCTTAGTTTGAAATAAAGGTCACTATAGAGAGAAATTCCTAGCATTGGTACCATGCACATGTGTATTGCAACCCAGTTGGCTCAGCTTTACCATATCTTTTCACTACTTCCTAGTCACCTTCTCATAGTGGCTGCTACCAGTTTAAAATTACTATATTCACTACTCTACAGTGAGCACATCAACCACATTCAAGTTTTAGGTTTCCTTCCCTTTCCCTACTACTCCTGGTGAATTTCACTTAAAAGGATATTTTCCAGCTTCAACCATTTAGTTGTGAATGACAAGTTTTCATTCTTCTTTGTGGCTGAATATATTTCCATTGTGTATAAATACCACATTTTGTAAATCAATTCATTAGTACTAGGGATCTTAGCTCTTTCCATAGCTTGGCTACTGTGAATAGTGCTGCAATAAACCTGGGAGTGCAGGTGCCTTTGTAATAACCTGAGTAACATTCCTTCAGATATTACTAGATCATATAACAGATCTGTGTTCAATTTTTTAAAGAACATTCCATATTATTTTCCAAAATGGTTGTACTTGCTTGCATTCCCACAAGCAGTGTTGAGGGTTACTTTTTCCCTGCATGCTCACCAACATTTATTGTTAGTGGTATTCTTTTTTTAAACATTTTTATTCATTTATATACATGTGCATACATTGTTTGGGACATTTCTCCCCCTGGCCCCCGCTTCCTACCTCTACACCTCACCCCCTAACTTCCAGGCAGAACCTGTTCTGCCCTTTCCTCCAATTTTGTTAAAGAGAAGACATAAGCAATAATGAGAAAGACAAAGCATTTTTGCTAGTTGAGATAAGGATAGATATACAGAGAGATTCCTAGCATTGCTTCCATGCACAGCTGTGTTACAACCTAAGTTGACCTCTGTAGCTTTAAGGTTATTGTATTAGGTCTTCTGCAGTGGGGACATCAGACACTTTTCACATTTTGGGTTTCCTACCCATCCCTATACCTCCCATATGCTCGCCCCTTAGCATGTGATCCAGTCCAACCACATTTCTGTATGTGCTCTAGATCTAAAGTCCACATATAAGAGAGAACATAAGATTTTTTGTCTTCTGAGCCTGGCTGACCTCATTCAGAATGGTATTTTCCAATTCCATCTATTTACTTGAGAACAATAAGATTTCATTCTTGTTCATGGCTGAGTAAAATCCCATTGTGTATAAATACCACATTTTCTTAATCAATTCATTTGTAATGGGACATCTTTGGCTGACATCAGTTTCATTTCCACCAAGGTCTCAAGATGATTACAGAAATCAAAATTTGCAATGGAGTTATTTTCTATGTGGTCTCCCTGACATAGGTGTCTATTAAAATCAGCACGTGTGTATGACACGGTTCTGACTGTGATGGCCTGTCACTAGTTTGTCAGCTGTCATCTCCTCTAGCGTTGCACATCATTGAATATCCCCTTTGTGGCTTCTAAAATCTGCTATCTTTTTTAGATAGATTTTTGGACCCTCAACTGCACAGGTAGGATGATTTTAAATACTTCAAGGATGTAAAATTTGCAATTTCTTCTGTGACACTGTTCAATTTTTAATCTTGTATATTTTAACATCATCAGGCACTATTTTGTATGTACACCCTATCTTTTTTTTTCTTTTATTATTCATATGTGCATACAAGGCTTGGTTCATTTCTCCCCCCTGCCCCCACCCCCTCCCTTACCACCCATTCCTCCCCCTCCCTCTCCCCCCCCTCAATACCCAGCAGAAACTATTTTGCCCTTATTTCTAATTTTGATGTAGAGAGAGTATAAGCAATAATAGGAAGGAACAGGGTTTTTGCTGGTTGAGATAAGGATAGCTATACAGGGCATTGACTCACATTGATTTCCTGTGCGTGGGTGTGTACACCCTATCTTGGATGCGTCTTATTTGCTATAAAATTATTTCTTCCATTTTCATAATCTCATCACCAGGGGGAGACATACAGCCTCTACACCTGTGTGTCACACTTTCAGTTACTTGCTCACTTTATGGAGATAGCATTAGACTGCACTTGACTGTGCTGTAAATCATTGTCTCAAAAAGAGTGTGGTGGGCTCAATGTTATCCACTGTTGTCTCCTTGTGCTGTATCCCCTCATATAAAATCTGATGAATGAAGACATCCAAAGTGCTCTGTGGAGGCTCCATAGTGCAATGGTCTAATATCAGGACCTGTGACATTTATTTGACGTGTAGTTTTTAAAAGCAATAAACCTTAACATCTAGACTTAAATCCACGTTTTTGGTCACATTACTCTTTAATGTTTTCACATTATTTGTCATGATTTTTCATAGTGGAATGATAGTTGCTAGGATTGAGTGGTGGGAGTAATATAGGATTTTTTAAATGAAATTTTTGAATTCATAAAATTTGTGTTTCTGGAGATGTAAGATGTTGATAATCTCACAACAATGTGAATTTCATACATGTTACTCCAGTTTGAAATAAATATGCTTAAAATAGAAACATGTTCGAAATATATTTAGTTCTAATAAAATGGAAAGAAGCAACTGACTGTTAAAAAATAACAATTAAAAAACTGAAGAGTACACAATAGTCACCTGAGCAGATGAAGTATCTAAAATCTGTTGTTGATATTCTTTTTTCTTCTTCTTCTCCCATTAATGCTTGAAATTCCTTAGAGACTTGTTCCAATAATATCCACAATTTTGCTAATTATGAAATCTGTGCAGTGATCCTCCTAGGTCATATAACAATCAGTGATCAGCCTGTCATTTCAGACCTTCAGCTTAATGTCTCCAGTGTAGCTGATTCCATCTCTGTCTTCTCATTTCATCATTCTCTACCTCCACAAACTTCCATTTGTCACTATATTCACCTCAATACTGAGAACAAAGTCTGAAGCTTCATTGGTCACCATGCATGGGGGAATCTATGGACCAGCACACCTTAGGCATCACTAAAGTGGGAAATAGCTTAACCCAGTGAGTACTGAGGATGTACTCATCCAGTTCCCACTGCATGAGGGAAGCACTATTTTTGTGTCCTCTAATCATGAAGACAAACATGACAGTTTGGTTAGCTGATGGAAGGACATAAGTTTAAATGTGGCACTTGTAAAAACTGGGGAGCTCAATTTGCCTATGTTTAAGATCTCTGTACCCTATTTCAAACTTTCTGCTATCTTTGAAATATGGAAACAATTTTGTTGCATTGGACACAGAGATTGCCATTTTAATTTGTATTATTCTGACTTCACATATAGTATCTGTCATGTAGGGAAGTTTGTTGGCATCTCTGGGGCTTGGCATTTTATTCACATTAATTACTAGTTGCTGTTATTTCACTGATTAACTATTAAACAGATAATGAATAATAAATTGTTATTAATATGTGATAAATACTTAAAACAAGTGAAAAAAATTTAGACATTAAAATTAAGAGTAATGATATACTATTAAGAAAAATGAGTCTACTACCTGCAGTTACATTTTCCTAATTCTGGAAATGGAAATCTCATTTTTTGTCCTTTTAAAATGTGTTCTGTGTATTTGATGATGAATGTGTCCATTTAATTTCTGATTATCTGCAATATCAGATACTTGGCTCAGAGGATGCATAAAATGTCTTCTACGTATTGAGTAGATGCTTCCTAGATTTGCATTAATAGACAATAGTCACTGTGGTATCAACACATTTGATGCTTTCCTGTGTGCACTTTCATCTTTTTCAAGAATATCACATAGAACTAGAGATAAGATAGAAGAGATTTTGTTTATGTCTATGTCGTGGATACCTTGGCTCTATGTTACAATAGGCAAAATTGCAGTAATCTATTATTCAAAAACATGATCAATATTTATTAAATTCCAGACTCTCCTTACATGCAACATATGTTGAGTAGATGGGGTCATTTTCTCTCTTTATGTTAAGCAGTGAGCACAAAGAATTGGAGCCATTTGCACATATTCTGCAAATGATACCAGGTCAGTGATGGAGACCAACATGGTCATTGTCAAACTCCAATTTCCAGAGCACTGTCTCCTGTATTGGAGCAAAATAGAAATACTACCTACAGGAAATAAAATTTTTGTGTGTTAGGCTAAAGAGATTACTCTTAGATAGATGGAAAGGGTATTTTGACAGTATATAACAAGAATAAGAGAGTGTAGGTGATAATGTACCACTTTTTTTTGAAAATCTATGTAATTAATAGTTAACTTTAATACACATAATTTGTTGGAAATCAGAGAACTATCCACCAACCAATTTATGAACCAGAAATTCTACCTCTGTGAAATGCAGAAGGGTTCAAGAATTTAACTGTCCTCCTAAAAATAAACTTACAAGTTAGATGATGTCACTACAGCTGATAAGTCCATGACATTTCTTGTAGTGGATATTTGCACTTCACAGGGAAACAGACCACTTGCTTATGTAAACTAGAACATTTCATGAGCAATAGGTATTGTACTGTATACTCCTTAGACAAACTTTAGTTTTTTTTTAAAGCACCCATTCAGGGAAAGTCTTTCTGGATGTATAAATCACTATTGACATAGACCTATTGAGAAGAAAATATGTCTACTAAAACATTAAAATATTTTTCTCTAGGAACCAATGCACAAGAGAATGAAATGATGCAAGGGAACCAAAAAATCATATTTTATAAGTACATTACAACCTCCATAAATATTATTTTTGAGATAAACATTATTAAATCTTAATATGCTAATGTGGGATTTAGTATAGAGTCTGTTAATAATATTCATGGAGCATTTTCTAATTGTCAAGAAATATTGAAGACACTGATTCTCAACTCTGGTGCCAGAAAGTAATATAAAAATTTCAAATGTAGGCATTCTGAAAAATTGGTTCTCTTTTGTCTGAGGGCAAGTTATCTGGATATTTAAAAATATTCTACTTATATTAATGAAAACTTAAAACCACTTCTTATAAGACAAACTATTTTAAATGTGTTCTTACTGAATGATATAGTGTAGATAATTATAATACCTATTTTATAATTTATAGGGAAAAACACTCTTTCAGGTGTGTTTGCATCATTTCATATCTGTTATGTTTTTCAGTTTTCCTGGTGAAATATGATAGTGTGCCTTGAGAAAACTTGAGTCCATGGTTTCGTTATGTAGCTAAAATAAGAGAATTGTATTTATGAATCAGGAAGATTAATGTGAAAAGCTATTGATTGGAAATTAGAAGGTTGGGATTCAAACCTGGGCTTGTAACTTTCCTTGGTGCTAAAGTCTTCAGATGCAAGTAGGAGGTCTTATAATTAAGAAAACAATGAAGCATATTACTTTGTACTCTAGAGTACATACTCAAGGAAAAGAGTAAGCAGCTGTATTACATAACAGTTATTTTACTGATATGTATAGAGTTAATAGAAATAAGCATATGCAAAATGAATAAATGCAAGGGTGCTTCCTGATAGGTGCAGTGTGTGCTAATACCTTATCCTTTTGTGCATTTAACTGAGCAAACTTCACAAAAGTGTGAATTTCAGTATGGCACTGATATGAGCTACATATTAAACAATTTTAAAATATGCAAATAAAATGTGAGAAAACAGTAACATCCTTGAAGTAGGGAAATTGAAAGTCTAGGAATAAGAAAAAACTTCTGGGAGAAAAGAGGCATACCGGTAGGTTTTCCGATTACACACTGTCAGTTTTAGTGGTCAGGTAATGTACTGGTACCTCAAGTAGAGTTTATAAATACTCGAAGTAAAGGAAGTCATACAACTTTCTTAAAAGAAAACAAGGTACCAATGACTGTTCCTTAACTTTCTTTCTACTAGGGAAGTGGATATGATTCATTCTTTAAGACTATTTTGTATTTTAAGGTGATCCTCGACTCGTGACTCTTATAATCTTAGCCTCTTACAGGCTTGAGTATCTCTAAAGTTGCTATGTATAGAACTAGGTGGATAGCAAAGCAACCAAGAATAAAAGATTTCTAGAGGATTGCGATTGTCACATTGAAATATATTTGTTGAATATTTCTTTTATCACTAGTGTGAATTCTAATGTGTAAATACTTGGATACGGATATACACAGTCATGTCTACCTGAAAAAAAATAATTTTTCTAATGAATTTTCTTTCTTAACAGTTGTCCAAGCATCATAGAAGCAAGAAATCTAGCAGGTGTCTCAGAATTCCACCTCATGGGACTCTCAGAGGATCCAGAACTGCAGCCCATCCTCTTTGGAATATTTCTGATCATGTACCTGATCACAGTGTTTGGGGATCTTCTCATCATCATGGCTGTCAGCTCTGACTCCAATCTCCAAACCCCCATGTACTTTTTCCTCTTCAATCTGTCATTGGCTGACATCTGTTTCATAACCACCACAGTCCCAAAGTTGATTGTGGATATCCAAACTCAGAGCAGAGTCATCTCTATTGTGGGCTGCTTGACACATATGTCACTTTTTCTCCTTTTTGGAAATATGGATGATATGCTTCTGACTGCGATGGCCTATGATTGGTTTGTGGCCATTTGTCAATCCCTGCATTATCCAGTCATCATGAGTCCTTGCTTCTGTTGTGTCTTAGTTGTGGTGTCATTATGGTTTAGCCTTTTGGGATCCCAACTGCAAAATTTTATATCCTTACAATTTACCTGTTTTAAGGATGTGGAAATTTCTAATTATTTCTGTGACCCTTCTAAAATACTTCATCTTTCCTGTTCTGAAACTTTTAGAAATAATGTGATAATGTTTTTTCTTGTTTCTATATTTGGTTTTGTCCCCATCTCAGGAATCCTTTTCTCTTACTACAAAATTGTTTCTTCCATTCTGAGAATCCCATCATCAAGTGGGAGGCATAAAGCATTTTCTACATGTGGGTCTCACCTGTCAGTGGTTTGCTTATTTTATGGAACAGCCATTAGCATGTACTTTGGTTCAACTATATCACATTGTTCTAGCCATGTTGTGCTGGCCTCGCTGATGTACACTGTGGTAACCCCTATGCTGAACCCCTTCATCTACAGTCTGAGGAACAGGGACCTTAGTAAGACCCTGAAGCGTCTGCACAGTAAGACAGTCTTAACTCAAGCCTTGCGACATCCATTTCACCGTTAGGTTGAAGAGATTAGCAAAATTGAAGAACTACATGTCAATACCTTGTCATTAATGTCTTCACTTAGAAGACTGATGGCTTTAAGTTGCCACATTTTATTTCATACTAGAATGGTGACTGAGAAGAGTAAGAGGTGAAAGATTTTATTCAGTTTGTTAAAAAATTTTAACTTGCAAAGATGAAAGTTTTTCTGGAGATGGATAATAGAGATAGTTGCAGAAAAATGTCATTGTAATTTAATGCCCACAAAATGAGCATTAAAATTATTAAGCTGGTACATTTTTATGTGAATTTTGCTACAATGGAATGTAGAAGATTAATGATATCAAGAAAGAAAGAAATCAACTCAAGATTTCTTCTGAGGAGGTGAAGTTTACAAAATCCTTTCTGGAAATTCATTTTCTTTTCCTCTTCCTTCATTTGTGTAACTACGAGCTCTACACCTTGTGACTCCAATTTTTTCAATAGTAAAGAATTGGGCTGTTTTCAACTTTAATGATTCCATTTCTGGTGCCAATGCCTGGGTTTCCTCCACTTTTTGTGTCTGCATCAGGAAGTTGTATCTGAGTGTGCATACCAATATAGGGATGGAGATTGAGCCTTCTTATAATTTTCTATTTTTTATTTTTTTGTCAGTACTGGAGTTTCACCTCAAGACCTCATGCTTGCCAGACAGGCTCTCTAAGACTTAAGCCACTACACCAGCTCAGGACTTAGCCTTCACTGAATCTCAGGCAGTACCATGAATGTCCCCTGTGACCATAGTTCTCACTAATGATACAGTTACTGCTTGGGTGGAGAACGGATTGATCAATTAAAACCATTGTTTCCTCATTAAGAGGACAAATATAGAAATTGGCCAGATAGATAGAGGGATATCAATATGCAATTTCACTTATGAGGGCTGGAAATTTATGATTGTTATATTTTAAATTCCTCACTCAAATTTTGCTTTGCTCTTACAGGTTTTGTTCCTTGACCACTTATCCAGTACATTTACTCTATCATCACTTAGGATGACACCCTATCCTCAATGAGCTTTTCTAGTAGACCACAAGACAGATAAGTTGGTGGTTACTGCAAGAACAATTACATGATATCCGTGATCATAGGGAAAATCAACGAATGGGAATGCACCAATCATTATTAAGCACTCATTTTTCACATTCCTCCACTCCAGGATATCCTTAGAGAATTCCATGTACTCACTAATTCTTGTAATCATCACATCTCAAATGGATTCATTACTGCTCAGAAAACAGGAAAGAGGTTAACAATACTCCTGAGTTGGATGTATTGTTAAAACATCTGTACTTATACATAAAAATTTCTGGTGATTGACAAGCAGTGAAAAAGACCAGTGAATTTTACCCAGAGATTGTCAATATAATTTGGAATGTTGTGGTATCACCCTTTTTGGATGATACTGGGGTTTTTTCCTGAGGGATTAACACTGCTAGGAAAACCATCTACCACCTGAGGCACATCTACAGACTTTTTTGGCTTTAGTTTGGTTTTTCAGATAGGTTCTGGTGATTTTGCCCATTCTGGGCTCAGACCTGTATCTTCTACCACTCAGTTAAGTGGGATTACATTTGCACAACATCATGTTGGTTTTTTTTTTCAAGGAATAAGGTCTTGCTAACTTCTTTGTCTTAGCTAGCTTTGAAACTCCGTTCTCTTGTTTCTGCCACTTAAACACCTGGGATTTCAGGCAGATATCACCATGCCTTGCCTTGATCAATTCCTTATTTCCATGAAAAAGAGCAGGTTATTAGTGTTTCTGACATTCAGCATTGTCATCTGAGTTCAATTCCAGTTGACAGAGACAAAGAAACAAAAATACATTCTAATGTAAATAGCACATTTCAAAGTGAACAGGTGATTCATCAACTATTACTTACATGAAATTTAGGTATTAGGTAAATTCTTAAGGAAACAGTTTATGGATACATATGCCAATGCTGACGTGGAAATATTGGCAGGGAAGTACACCAAATTCTTGACAGTGGGTGCCTTTGGGAATGGGATGTGCAGGAGAATGAAAACACTCAGGGATAACAAGGACTCAAAGTTCACAAATGATAATACAAAACAAATGAACTGTTAGGTCAGAAGCAAATGTTATAGAATCTTCACATTTTAATATAGGCAATATACATTACTGATAGTAAATATAGTTGATATTAGATACCCTGTTCTTAATGCAAGGACACAAAATCTTTACATGCAGTTACTGTGATTAAGTGGGTTTGCAGAGGTCTGGATTGTTAATTTGTTAATTTTTATTTTGACCACCAGGGTGTTTATTGTTATGGTTCTATCACTCCTGTTTATTTTTCTGATCATATTGTTGTTTCTTTTTATGGTTCTGTCACTCCTGTTTATTTTTCTGATCCTATTGTTGTTATACTGGGGATATAATGTGACATTTACAAAAGTGCTTACAATATAGCTTAGTTAAATTCACCCTTGAATCATTCTCCTTTATTCCCCCTCTCCCATTCATAGAATGGGTTCATCATGATTCAGTTTTCTACTTTCATCCCTGAATCCATAATATTTCCACCATATTCACCCTCCCACACCCTTTCCTTATATCCTTCCCCCTCCTTTAATATCCCCCTTATATAAGTGTGTGTATATATGCATATATGTATATATGTACATATACATTTATGTGTGTATCCGTGTGCCTCTTTATTGAATTTTCTTTTCCAATTCTTTTTTTCTTTTGCAAAAGGTTTGCAAACAATTCCTGACCACAAAATCAAACCTGTGTCTCAGATATATGCCTCATTGTCATGCAGATGATCCAGAACAGTAGTCTGCATCTTTGGATTGTTTCTGTCCATATTTCAGGCCACTATGCTTGGGAAGCTGCCCATCCTCTTGCTTGTCACTTTGCACTCCCATCTTCAAATATCCATATACTTCTTCTCCAACCTGTCTTTGGCTGACATAACTCATCTTCATCAAGGGCTCAGAGATGATGGTAGAAACTGAAATTCACAGAACACTAATTCCTTAGGAGAGACACATGACGATGTCTTTTAACTCATCTGTGCATGTGTGTATGGTATGCTTCTGCTGTGGAGCTCTATCATCACTGTGCCCATCTGTCGTCCTTTACATTACTCCATGAACATTGACCTTTTTGTCTCTTCCAACTTTGTCTGTTTTTTGGTTTGTTTTGGAATTGCACCTTCAAAATTAAATTGACTTACAATTTTCCTATTTAAAGATGTAAAATATCCAATTTAATTTGTGCCATGTGTAGTTCTTTAATTTTGCCTGCTTTGACAACTCCAGTAATGATATAATGAATTACATTACTGGCACCATGTTTATGTCTGCCCCATATCTTGGATACTTTTCATTTATTATAAAATTATTTCTTCTATTCCAAAAATCCAGTCTTCAAGGTGGGAAGGGTTGATCCTCTTCAGCTGCATGTCTTTCTTGTTAATCATTTGCTTATGTTATGGAACAGGCATTAGCGTGCACTTGACTGTGTTGTTTCACATTGTATTAGAGTGTTATGAGTTTCCATGTTATCCAATGTAGACAACCTGTGCTATGTCCCTCATCTAAAACCTGGACAATAGATACATCAAAAGTACTCTATGGAGGCTCCAGAATGAAACAGTTTAATCTCAGGATCATTGGCATTTATTTGAAATGTAGTTTTGAAAACTACAGATCTTTCCATTTAGATTACATATTCTACTTTTTTGATCATATTACTTTTAAGTTTCTTGGCTTTATTTTGTTGAGTTTTTTTGTAGAGAAATGACAGGTGCCAAGTGTGGGTGATGGTAATAACGGAAATTATTAATAAATATGAATTTTGTGTTTGTAAAGTAGATGTTTATGGAGATGTATGATGTTAGTAATTTTGTAACAATCGGAATTTCAGAAACGTTATTTGAGTTTGTAATTAATATGTTTAAAATCATAACATTTTTGCAATGTGTAAATGAGAATAAAATTAGAATTAAAATTAAAACTACTTTAAATAGTAGTTTTAAAATTATTAGTAAAATGAAAAGAAAGCTACTGAATCTTTAAAGAATAAGCAGAAATTAAAGAGTTGAAAAGTAAAAAAACTCTTCATCTGAGTAGTCAAAGAATCTGAAGGCTGTTAATATTCTTTTATCTTTCTCTTCTCCCACTTTAGTGTTTGAAATTCCTTAGAGACTTGGTCCAACAATATCTGCAATTTGGTTAATGACAAGTGCTGTGCATTGATCCTCCAAGGTCACATAATAGTCAGTGATCATCCTGTCCTTTCTGGCCTTCAGCTGAATGCCTCCAGGGTATGTGGCTCAATCCCTGTGTCCTCATTCATAGGTGTCTGCCTCCGAAAACTCCCACTGCGACTGCATTCTTTTCAATCCTGCAGTCAGGAGCTGAACCTTCGTTGGACACCAGGTGTGGGAAGGTCTTTGAACTTACACAGCTTGGCCATGACTAAAGAGGAAAGCGGTTTATCCTAGTAAGTGTTGAGGGGTAGATGAGAGAAAGGCTCTTTGTTTATCCTCCTAATCATGAGAATAAACATGACATTTTGGATAGCTGATGGGTGAATACCAATACAAAAATGTGCACATTTGCAGACTGAAAGTTTTTGTTCTTAGTTATGTTTAGTATACTGAAATCTTATACAGAATTCTCTTTGCACCTCTCCTGGATCTCCTAACCATGGATGTCTGTCACAAATAGGAGATGTGGAACCTTCTGCACCATTTCCTAGTTATTCCAAAAAAGATTATGAAGGTGAGATGAAGATGACAGTAATCATAATGTCATGAACCATTATTGTGAGATACACTTGTGGCTGGCTCTGAGCTGTTTATGCCATGTATCTCTTTTCTTTTCATGTATGTACGTTACTGCATTTAAAAAAAAACTCACAATATCATTATCTTGCAAAACTGAAATAGCAAATTATTTTAATGTAACCTGTTGTTGATGTTTAGGCTCTAGCAGTTAAAGTCATGATTGTATTGGGCTGTCTGCTTATAGACACAGAGCATCACACAAGGAGAATCCTGGGAAAATGTGTCCTTAAAAGCCAAACATCCATTTCACTTCTCTGTTACTCCAGTAATAGGCCCTTAGAACTTGAGATTTGGGTAGTTTATATAGTAGAGGAGTGGGTGACAGTCAGCTGCACAAATGGATGACAGTCATAGATTGTAGGGAATGATCACAGAAAGAATAGCAATAGTGTTTACCACATGTGTATCTGTCTGCCATTCAAGTAGATTCTTGAATCTTTCTGCATCCTTCTCTGTAACTGTATTAAGTCACACAATATCCATGAAGACATCATGGCAGATCTTGATGAAATTCTCACTTATCGAACTGGACACAGTAAAAATATATGTCCATCATAGCTGTTGTTAAGACCTCTGTACCCTGTTTCAAACTTTCTGCTTACTAAAAAATAGGAAACAAGCTTAGAAACACAATTTGTATATCTCCACTTATAATTTCTGCCACATAAGGAAGTTTGCTAGTCTGAGGGTCAGTATTTTCCCCTTCACTGATTTCTAGCTCCTGGAGCTGCATTAGGTAAGAAAAAGAAACAGACATTGAATAATAAACTGTTATTAATGATATTTGAAATGAGTGATCCATAAATTTTAGATATTAAAGTTGGTAGCAATAACAAGGTTAATATTTATACCACTAAAGAAAATTATTCTTCTCCTTGAAATTTCATTTTCATATTTGCATAAAAGGAAATTTATTTTTGTCCTTATATAAACATGTCCTTTGTGTTTGGTAAGGAATATCTCAGTTTAATTTCTGATTCTCCAAGAATTAGATACTTGGCACAGAAGAGGCATAAAAATACCTCCTTGGTATTATTGTGTCTTCAAGACACACAATGCTTTCATGTCTGCACTTTCATCCTTTTCAGGATTATCATATTCAAGTACAGCCATGGTAAAATAGATCTTGTTTGTGCCTATGTCAAGGACATATGGGCCCTAAATTCAATAATCAAATGCACTCAAATCAGTTATGAAAAGCATACAGTGATTTTCGTGTGTGAATTAAAATAAAAAGTGGCACAAACAGAGTAGGACACATATATTTATAGCATGGGGTGAGACACAGTGTATAGATTCATGTCATTCCAGGCTACAGCGCTGTTTTACAACTTTAGTCAACAATAAACTTAATGTTTTCATCAGGATGCAATTATTTATTTACAAACACAAATGATCAATATTTATTAAGTTCCAGATTCTTCTTAGGTGCAACAAATGTTATGTAGATCAGGTTATTTTCCCAGAAAGGTAGATAGATTTACACATACTCTGTATATAGTAGCAGGTCAATGATCAGGAACTAACATGGTTATTGTCTGACTCCAATTCCTACGGCACTGTCTCCTCTACTGGAGCCAAATTGTGATATCCCTTATTTGAATAAAATGTCTTTGTGTGATGGGGTGCAGGGATTATTATTGGACAGACTGCTGGATATTTTGATGGAATATCACAATAATAAGAAGTCACAGCTGATAGTGTATAAAGTATGATTTTATTGGGGAAGAATCTATGTCATGAATAGTCAACTTTAATGCACATGATTTGTTGGTGATCGGATCCACTAATCAGCTTATTCTTCAGATATACTCACAGTATGAAATGCAGAAGCATAATAATTTTCAAAGTGTTTCCCTAATAATAAACTTACAATTCAGATGATGTCCCTCTCAGGTAAAGTGATGTATCTGTTGAAGCTCTTGTAGTCAAAGTTTGAGTTTCATGAGGAGACTTAGACGACTTGCAGATGTAAACTAGTCCATTTCCAAAATGATAGATGTGGTGTTGTATAATACTTTGAAAAACATTAGGTACTTTTAAGGTAACTTTTAGAGAAAGTCTTTCTGGATACTTAAATTAATATCAATATGGAAATATTCAGCAGAAAATCTGTCCACAAATACATTAAAATATTTCCCTTCAGAGGCTGAAGCATAAGGAGAACAGAATCATGCAGAGATACCAAACACTACATCTCATAAGCACTTTTAAGACCTACATAAATATTATTTTTGAGGCAAATATTATCAATTCTTAACATGATAATGTAGATGGTGAGCATTTTGAATGTAAGAGTGCTTAATATTCAGGGAGCATTTTCTGAATGCCAAGAAATATGTAAGATAATGGTTCTCAACTCTGGTGCAAAAAATTAACAAAAGAACTTCAAATGTGAACATAATGATAAAGTAGCTTTTGTTCTGTTCTGTGTGTAGGGTAAGGGTAACTGAATATTAAAAATATTCATACTTATATATGTATAAAAAAACAGATGAAGAATCATCTTTTTATAAGACATGAAACAAACACATCCTTAGATAACCATACACAGTAGATAATTAAAATCCCTCTTTTATAATTTAAGTGGAGACATTATTGTCACATATATTTACATTATTTCATGTACTTATTCTTTGCATTTTTCCCAGTTACATTATAGTTTCCCTTGAAAAAAATTTGAGGCCAGGATTTCTTCATGTATGTGACATAAGCAAATGGAAATTTAAGCGTCCAGAATGAATGCTGTGAAAATCTATTTATTGAAAATATATAATGTGGGACCCAAACTTGGGCCTTGGAACTTTCCTTGGTGTTACTGTCTTTAAATAAAAACAGGAGGTATTTTAATTAAGAAAACAATCAAGCCTATTATTACTCTAGAGTATCTAATCAAAAAAGAGTAGAGTTGTCATATACATGTCAGATATTTTACTGACATATATTGGTGTGGCTCAAATGAACATGTGTAAAATTAATAAATTCAAAGGTGCTTTTGGTCATTTGCTTTTTAAATCATCCAGGGTGCAGTGTGTGCAAATGTCATATGCAGATGTGCATTGAACTAAGGAAACTTTCTAAAAATCGAAGTGCATCAAGGACATTAATCTGAGTTAAATGTTAAATGATTTTAAGATTTAAAAATGAAACATGAGACTAATTGAATCCTTAAAAAGGGAAATTAGAAAACCTAGGAGTGAGGAAAACTTCTGAGAGAAGACTAGCACACTACAGAGTTTTCTCATTGTGAACTGCATATTTTAATGTTCAGATAATGCAGTACTACCTTATGTAGTATTTACAAACACTGTAAATAAAGAAAAGAATACAGTTTTGTTTTTTTAAAATTATTCATTTATTCACATGTGCATACATTGTTTGGGCTATTTCTCCCCCTTGCCCCCCTTGCCCACCTCTCCCTCCTTCCCCCCTCAATTCTAGGCAGGTCCTGTTCTGCCGTTATCACTAATTTTGTTGAAGAAAAGAGACAAGCATAATATGGAAGACAAAGTATTTTTGCTAGTTGAGTTAAGGATAGCTATCCAGAAATATTCCTATTCCTAGCATTGCTTTCGTGTACACGTGTTATGACCCATGTTGATTTGTCTCTAACTGATCTTTACCCTGGTTACTGATCCCTTTCTCATGATAAACTCTGTCTCTTTAAGGTTTCTGTATTAGTTCCTCTGGAGGGGGGACATCAAATGCTTTCATGTTTTAGGTTTTCTAACTATTCCTGTAACTCCCGTATGTGCTCTCCCCTTGTCATGTGATCCAAGTCCAACAGCATTGCTGCATTTGCCCTAGATCTAAAGTCCACATATGAGGGAGAACATAACGACTTTTGGTCTTCTGAGCCTGGCTAACCTCGCTCAGAATGATGTTTTCTAGTTCCATCAGTTTACCTGCAAATGATAAGATTTCATTCTTCTTCATGGCTGAGTAAAATTCCAATGTGTACAAGTGCCTCATTTTCTTGATCCATTCATCAGTAGTGAGTCATCTTGGCTGTTTCCTTAACTTGGCTATTGTGAATAGTGCTGCAATAAACATGGGTGCAGGTGCCTCAGGAGTAATCTGTGTTGCATTCCTTTGGATATATCCCCAGGAGTGAGATTGCTGGATCATATGTCAGGTCTATGTTTAGATTTTTAAGAAGCCTCCAAATCTTTTTCTAGAGGTTGCAACAGCTTGCATTCCCACCAGCAGTGTACGAGGGGTTCCTTTTTCTGCACATCCTTGCCAACAAATGTTGTTGGTGGTGTTTTTGATGATGGCTATTCTAACAGGGGTGAGGGCAATCTTAGTATGGTTTTGATTTGCATATCCTTTATGGCCAGAGATGGTGAGCATTTTTTCATGTGTTTTTTGGCCATTTGAATTTCTTCTTTTGAGTAAGTTCTGTTTAATTCAGTTGCCCATTTCTTAATTGGTTCATTGATTTTAGGGGAGTTTAGTTTCTTAAGTTTCCTATATATTCTGGTTATCAGTCCCTTGTCTGATGTATAGCTGGCAAATATTTTCTCCTACTCTGTGGGTGGTCTTTTCAGTTTAGAGACCATTTCTTTTGTTGTGCAGAACCTTTTTAATTTTATGAAGTCCCATTTGTCCATCCTTTCTCTTAGTTGCTGGGCTGCTGGGGTTCTATTAAGGAAGTGTTTGTCTATTCCTATTAGTTCCAGAGTGCTTCCTGCTCCTTCCTGTAGTAACTTCAGTGTTTCATGTCTGATCTTTAGGTCCTTGATCCATTTTGAGTTGATACTAGTACAAGGTGACAGACATGGATCTAGCTTCAGTTTCTTGCAGACAGATAACCACTTTTCCCACCAACATTTGTTGAAGAGGCTGTCATTTCTCCATTGTATATTTTTGGCACCTTTGTCAAAATTGAGGTGGGTATAGTTGTGTGGATTCATATCTGCATCTTCTGTTCTGTTCCACTGGTCTTCATGTCTGCTTTTGTGTCAGTACCATGCTGTTTTTACTACTTTTTCTTTGTAATATAGTTTGAAGTCAGGTATTGTGATACCTACAGCATTGCTCTTTTTGCTAGGTATTGTCTTGGTTATTCGCAGTCTCTTGTGTTTCCAAATGAACTTTAGGGTAGATTTTTCAATCTCTGTGATGAAAGTTATTGGGATTTTGATGGGAATTGCATTAAACATGTAGATTGCTTTTGGTAGTATAGCCATTTTTACTATGTTTATTCTACCAATCCATGAGCACAGGATCTTTCCATCTTCTGTAGTCTTCCTCGATGTCTTTCTTCAGGAGTTTGTAATTCTCCTTGTAGAGGTCATTCACATCTTTTGTTAAATTTACTTCTATGTATTTGATTTTTTTGAGGCTATTGTGAATGGAATTGATTCCATATATTCCTTCTCTGTTTGTTCATTTCTGGTGCGTTTGACTGCTTCTTAATTCCCATCAAATTGAATATTTCTCAAAAGGCATATGTGTATGATGTATTTTCTATTTTGTACTTTATGGTGATAGTTAACTTGTTGACTCATATTTTCCCTATTCTAACATTGTTGCATGTCTCTAAAATTGATGTGTATGTAAGGAGGCAGATAGTAAAGTAACCAAGAGTGAAAGATTCCTAGAGGATTGCCAGTAGTTACAGTTGAAATACAGTTATGTATTTTTTACCTCAACTGTGAATTCTAATTTATAATTATCAAGAAGTCTTGCATTGGCTGTTTGATTGTTTCACTTTTCCAAAGAGTTTTCTTTCAACAGTTGTGCAAGCAATGTAGAAGCACTCAATCTAACAAGTGTCACTGAATTCCACCTCATGGAAATCTCAACTGATCCCGAATTCCAACCCATCATCCTTGGACTGTTCTTGTCTATGTACCTGGTCACAGTGCTTGGGAACCTACTCATCATCCTGGCTGTTACCTCTGCATCCAACCTCCACAACCCCATGTACTTCTTCCTCTGCAACCTGTCATTGGTTGATATCTGTTTCATCTCCACCACAGTCCCAAAGATGATTGCAGACATCCAAACTCACAACAGGGTCATTTCCTATGTGGACTGCCTGACACAGATGTCTCTTTGTATCATTTTTGCAAATATGGATGACATGCTTCTGACTGTGATGGCCTATGACCGGTTTGTGGCCATCTGCCACCCCCTGCATTATCCAGTCACTATGAACTCTCATTTCTGTTGTGTCTTAGTTTTGATGTCCTTTATGTTCAGTCTTTTGGACTCCCAGCTACACAATTTGATAGCCTTACAATTTACCTGTTTTAAAGATGTGGAAATTTCTAATTACTTCTGTGACCCTTCTCAAATACTTAATCTGTCCTGTTCAGAAACTTTAAAAAATAGTATGGTAAGGTATTTTCTTCTTTCTGTATTTGGTTTTGTTCCTTTCTCAGGAATCCTTTTCTCTTACTACAAAATTGTTTCTTCCATTCTGAGAATGCCATCATCAAGTGGGATGGATAAAGCCTTCTCCACCTGTGGGTCTCACCTGTCAGTGGTTTGCTTATTTTATGGAACAGCCCTTGGTGTGTACTTTGATTCAACTATATCACGTTGTTCAAGCCATGTTGTGGTGGCCTCACTGATGTACACTGTGGTCACCCCTATGCTGAATCCCTTCATCTACTGCCTGAGGAACAGAGACATTAGTCAAACCTTGAAGCCTACCCAATAAAACAACCTTAACTCAAGCCCTGTGGCATCTATTTGGACTGTAGTTTGAAAAGTTTACCAAAACTGAAGAAGTAGATGTAAATATGCTCTTGTTCATGTCTTTATTTTAAAGATTGCTGGCTCAGGTTTGCACTTTCTTCATGGTAGAATTGTGATTGAATGTTTTATGATTTGAAGGTTTGCAATTTATTTAATTCATTGAAAAATTTCAGTTTGAGATGATAAAAATTTTCTGGACATATTGATGGCAATGGTTGTCCAAAATGTGACTGAATTTCAATGCCAAGAAAATGTGTATTTGCAATGGTTAAAATGATTCTTTTCATTAGGTGAATTTTACCACAAAGGAAACAAGATTAGTAATATTAAAAAAGGAAGAAATGAATAAAATGAGTGATAAATCTCAAATTTGTCTTAAGTAGAAGCAAGACCCAAACTTCTCTCTCTACATTTATTTTCTGTTCTTCTTCTTTCATTAATATGAAGTGTATTTACAGTTGGAATCAGAAGACATATTTGTGTAGCTATGAGCTCTGTGTCTTTAGACTGCAAGAACAACAATGCTAAATTATTGGCCTGTTCTTAGCTTGATGGTTCCAGTTCTGTTCAGAATGCCTGCATCTCTTCCACCTTTGATGTCTGCATTAGAAAGCTCCTATCCTATTGTGCTCATACCGATACAAAGGTGGGGTTTGAGCCTTCATTTGATTTAATGTGATGTAATGAAAGTTTTCCATGACCACAGTTCTTGGTTATGACGTGGCAGAGACAAAGCTTCAGTCAATAACTGCTTTGTGGATCAATTAAAATCAATTTCCTCATCATGACTGCAAACATGAAAGTTCACTAGGAAGATGGTAGGATAACAATATCCAACTCTACCAATGTGGGCTGAAAGTTTATGCAATGGTTTTCCTGGGAGTCTCAAATTTTGCTTCCCTCCCACACTGGTTGTTCTGTTGGGCACTCATCTATTCATTTGCATTATTAAGTATTTATTTTTCATATTGCCCCACTCCAGAATATCCGTGCAACTTTCTTTGTCCTTCTGAATTGTTATATCGACCAACTCCATATCAAATGGTTTCATTACTGCTAAGGAAACAGGAAAGTGGTTAACAGTGCTACTGAGTTGGCCATGTGGTTAGGACTTGTGTACCTATGCTTAAAATTTTCTGGTTGGTTTTAAATAGTGAAAAAACCCCAATGAGTCTTACTCTTAGATTTATGATGTAATTTGGAATTTTATTCGATAAAATTTTTCTTTTGACATTACTGGGGTTTTTACTGCAGAGCGTCATACTTGCTAGGCTTGTAATATATCACTTGAGTCACCTCTCCAGCTGTTTTTCATTTAGTTCATTATTCAGGTAGGTTCTTGTGCTTTGGACCATTCTGCTATCACACCCTGCAGACTTATATCCTCTTATCTCTACTTATTAGCAATTAATACCTTATTCTTACCTTAGTAGCAATTAGCTGGAATTACATGTGCACACTACCATGTCCCATTATTTGAAAGACAGAGTTTTTCTAACTTTCTAACTGAGTTTCAACATCAAGCCTCCTGTCTGCTTCCAAAATACCTGGGATTGAAAGTATGCATCATCATGCCTGTCATCACTCAGCTCTTTATATCTGTGAAAAAGAAGAGGTTATTAGTTTCTCTAACACTTAGCATTGTTATCTGAGTTCAATCCCAGTTGACACAAACTGAGAAGTAAATATACATTTTGGTGTAATTACCACATTTCAGACATAAGAGGTGTTTTATTGTATAATACTTAGATAAGATTTAGATAAGAATAGTTAAATTCTTGAAGAAACAGTTTATGGATACATAAATCAACACTGACATGGAAACATTGTCAGGGAAGTTCACACACCAAATTCCTGACCTTAGCTGCCTTTGGGAAATAGGTATGTAGGAGAATGAAACCATGCAGAGATAACAAGGACTCAAACTTAGAAAGGATATTTCAAAACATTATGAAGTATTAGATGATAAAAAATATATTATCTTCAGATTTGAGTATAGGTTGTATGCAGTACTGACAGTGAGTATAGTTGCTGTTTAGGAACCATCATTTAAAAATGCCAGATCACCAAATTTTCACATCAGATATGTTGATTAAATTAGTCTGCTGAAGTCTGGTATCTGGTCACTTTTAAACTTTCTTATGTACATTTATTGCTTAATTAAACTGAGAAACCCCCAAATGTAAAAAAATCCTTCCTTCCCATAAGAGCATATGGTCATAACTATTATGTCAATTTTCTGTAGTAAAATTTCTACATTTTCTGTAGTATACACTTCTGTATTGCCACAGTAAATTACTATGCCAGCAAATGGCCTAATGAACCTAAGCTGCCTTCATTTCTTAAACTAAAAGAAAATGTGTATGGAAATATAGATGGGAAAATTATTATTTATGCATAAGACGTATGGCACTGATTCCTGTGCATTGGAACATTCCCTGGTGCCAGAGCCCTCAACATATATGAGAGGGTTTATGATTAGAAATGTATGAAGTAATACACATAGAATACTAAAATACCAAAAAAACATGATGCTTTCTAAAGCAGACATCAACAAACTTGTGTATTGTAAAGTGTTCTTAGTGGAAATAAATAAACCTGTTCAAAGTGTAAAATTTCAAAACTGTGTGATAACATTTCATTGGGTTTTAGTTTCTGACTGATGCAGTGAACACAAGTGCCATATTTATGGTAGTGATATTACATGACAATGTACATATAACCAAATCATATTTATGAAAATGTGTACTGCACTAAAGACAAGAATAGATGCTACTTGTTAAACAGTTATTAAAAGGCAACCAAAATTTGAATGAGCCCTTAAGAGGGTTATAAGAATATCCAAAAATGTTGAAACTCCTGGATTGTAATTGGAATAAATGAGTATTTTGCCAATATCTACTCAGATTAGTTCAGAAATGCTGTGGAAGCTCTAAGAATTTCATAAACATTCAAAATCAAGAGCATTTTATCATTGCCTCCATCAGAGTATAAAAGTTATATTTTATTTACTTGCTAGTAGAATGATTTTTCTTATATAGAAGAATGAAGACTTTCTAGGACAATATTTTTTCAGGGAAGAATAGGCTGTATATTTTCTGTGACTATTGACTTGTTATCTTTAAAAAGATTTTGGTCTTGTGACCTTGTTTAGTTGAGTCAATGTGCACAGAAGGAGGTGGAAAACATACAATTCAAAATGAAAGAGATGTTTGATGACTGGGATTGTCACAATGGTGGAATTACTTGATGGTGTGTGAAAATATTTATGAATACTAATTCATATATAAATCTGAACATTAATGTACACAGAAAGTTCCAGCTGCCTCTTAAATGAATTCCTTTTCCAATCCATTTTACATTTTAAGTTTTCCAAATAAGTACTAACCACAAAATCTCCCTGGATGTTATAATAACATCTAACTGACCTTCCAAATGATCTAGAACAGCAGTTTTTCCTCCCTCTTTCCACAGTTTCTGTCCATGCATCTGGTCACCATGCTTGGGAACCTGCTCTTACTCCTGGTTCTCATACCTCCTCACCCTTTATACTTCTTCTTCCAGTGAAACTTGTCCTTGGCTGACATCATTTCATCTTAACCAAGGGCTCAGAGATGGTTGCTGAACATGAAATGCACAAGACATTAATCACTTTGACGAGACACCTAACACAGATATGTTAATACAGTTTTACACATATGTATGATACCATGCTGTCATGTGGTACCACCATTTTGTGCCTTCCTGTCTTCTTTGCCTTTACTATATTAACATTGATCTTTCCTTTTGTGACTTCTTAGTTCTTTTAGTCTTTTTTTGGTTAGAGTTTTGGACTTAGAGCTGCACAATTAATTAGCTTACAATGTACCTACTTCAAGGATGTAAAATCTCCAATTTCATTACTACCCTTACACATTTGTTTTTCTCTCGTATCTTGGATGTTTTTACTTATTATAAAATTATCTCCTCCATTTTGAGAATCAAATTATCAGGTGGCAAGGATAAATCCCCTCCACTGTGTGTCTCGTTTGTAAATCATTGGCTTATTTTATGGAGCAAGCATTTGATTGCACTTGGCTCTTCTGTATCTCATTGTCTCAGAAAGAGTGTCATTCTCTGTGGTCACCCAACACTGAGTCTCTTCACCAAAAACCTGAGGATCAGGAACATAAAAAACATCCTGTGGAGGTTCCACAGCAGGAACGTCTAATCTCAGGACCTATGTTATTTATTTGAAATGTGACTTTGAAACAAACAAACTTAACATTGGATTTATAAATATATACTATAGTCACGTTAATTTTGTAATATAAAGGTTTTATTTTCTTGTAATTTATCTCAGTAGAATGATGGTTTCCATGGTTGGAAGGTGGAAAGAATTGGAAATTTTTTGAGTTAATATAAACTTTTCAGATGAGAAAAATGATGTTTCTGAAAATATACAATGTTGATAATTTCACAAGAATGTGAATTTAATAAATGTTACTTATGTTTTTTTAGTAACATTTTTGTGATAAATATTTTACTTTATGGAAATAAATGATATTGAGCTTTACAAACTAGCAGAATAAAGGAGTGAAAATACACATTTTCACCTGATTAGAGTGCAAAACCTATGTGGATATTCTCCTTCCACTCCTCCAATAATGTTTGAAAGTCATTAGAGACTTGATCCCATAATATGCCCAATTTGAATAAGAATGCTGTGTATCAATCCTCCAAGGTCATATGAAAGTCACTGATTCCTCTGTCCTTTCAGATTTTCAGTTGAATGTCTCCAGTGTAGACGGCTCCATCCTTATCTCCTCATTCATAGGTGACTGCCTCAGAAAACTTTGTCAATGTATGCAATTCAACCCTGAGGACAGAGGCTGGAGCTTCTTTGGGCACCAGGCATAGTATGCATTTTGGACCTGTGAAACAAGGCCATTACTAAAAAGAGAAGCCTTTCTGTGGTGTTTG